TATTTATGACTCCATGTACAGGAGGCCTGTCTGTCGGTTCACCCCAGACCATGGACATGGCCCAAGCCGAGGTGTGTGCCTACTCCCACGGCTAGATGGGCAGCAGTCTGCCCTCTGGTCTCTGCTGATGTAGGTTATGAAGGTTCAAGTGGACTGTTGGGCTGAATGTCAACACTCGCAGGGGCTGGTGGCTCCCTTCTCTCCCTGGGAGTTGTCCCCACCCTGGATCAGCATGGTTGGTTAGGCCTCACCTCTGCTGTCCTATGCCAGTGAGAAGCAAAGTGCAGACCAGCTTGGAGTTGGTGAATGTAGGCTCTGGGGTCGAATGAGGAGTCCATGGTATATGCAACTAGAATCCTGGGCTAGAAGAGTCCATTCTGCACCATGGGGAACGCCCACCTGCTGACTGCCCCCTGCTGGGGTCCAGTAGTTGAGTCCTTTGTGAGGTGGGCAGGAGCAGAGAGGAACCCGAAGTCAGTGTCAAAGTAGGCCCGAGTCTCCCCGGGAGAGCAGCCCCCAGCATGGCGAGTGTGGTCGTGAAGACCATCTGGCAGTCCAAGGAGTTCCATCAGGCTGGGGACACCCCTGCCAGGGTCGAGAGGAGGATCCAGCTGGGCCCCGAGGCTCCTGGGGGCATGACCGGCCCTGCCAAGGGGATTACGAAGAAGAAGAAGGCTGTGTCATTCCACGGGTGGGTCTGTTGTTCCCTCTCATGATGGTCCTTGGGCCAGCACGGCGTCCTGTAGAGCCCAAGTGCCACCACGGGTACTGGTGGGAGGGAGGGAGGAAGGGAGGAAGAAGAGAGGGCTATGAGACAGAGCAAGGGGCCGAGAGGAAGGGGGTGGCAGAGGAAGAAAGGAAGTCAGGCAATCACAGGGTGTCGCTGCAGGGCTGGGGGCAGGCATGAGTCTGGCTCTGGTTCTCTGGGTTTGGCTGCTGGGTTCATCTGCCCACCTGCCACCAAGCATAGAAGAGGCTGGGGCAAAGAGATGCCTCTGTATGCCAGCATTTGGGAGGCTGAAGCAGGAGGGTTGTAAGTCTGAGCCCAGCTTGAGCAATTTAGCGGCTTAGTGAGACTTTTGTCTCCAAATGGAAAAATTGAATTTTTAAAAGAACTGGGATATATTCCTCAGTGAAAAGACCCTGGGTTCAATCTCAGGTTCCAGAAGAGGAGAAGTGAGTTTATTCACAATTTAGCCAATTGGAAAGGTAGCTGATCCTTTTCTCCTTGAGGCGCGCTTGGGATGCTGCGTCTAGGTTGCAGGCGCCGAACCAAAGCCTGCAAACACCACACAGAGACCGAGCCTGGCTGCAAACTCGGGTTGGAAGCGTTAAATTCTCCTTGGTGCCAGGGCCCAGGTGCAGTGTCAGCTCTCACCACAAGCAGCTGCAGAAACAAATCTCCTAGCCCAAAATCACTCCTTCCTTTTTGTTTTTTCAGGACAAGTTTTTGCTATATAGTCCAAGCTGCCCCCAAACTCAAGATCCTCCCCTCTGCCTCCCGAGCATTGGGATTACAGGCGTGTGTAACCATGTCCAGCTCCAAAATTGCTAATTTTTATTTATTTTCTTTCTTTCTTGTAGTCCTGGGGATTGAACCCAGGGATACTCTACTACTGAGCTACATCCCCAGCTCTTTCAAAATTTGTTTTGAAACAGGATCTCATTAGGTCTCTAAATTGCCCCGACTGGGTTTGAACTCACAATCGTCCTGCCTCCGCCTTCTAACAGCTGGTATGACGGGTGTGCCTACCACACCTCGCTCCAGAAATCATAATTTTGTGTTGGTTTTGGCTTTTCGAGACCAGGTCTCACTGTGTAGTTCAGGCTATCATTGAACTGTGTAGCCCAGGCTGGCCTGGAGCCCAGAATGATCCTCCTGCCTCAGCCTCCCGCTGGTGTGGCCACCAGGCCCAGCCCTAGCAATCCTAATGTTGAAAGATCCACTTTAACCTCCCGGTTACAGGGAGACCAGTGAAGGCAGAAGAAAGCAGGAAGCGGGGACGGAAGAGGCAGACGAAAGCAGGCAGCAGGGGCTGAAGAGAGAGAAGATAGCGGGCCTCGGGGAAGGCGAGAACGAAGAAAGTGGGCGGTGAGGCGGGGTCGCAGGGCAGCGCGTGGGCTGCGAGCAGCGGGGGGCCGGCGGGCCGCGTCCTCCATTTGCGCTGTCGCCTCCCCAGCGTGGAGCCGCGGATGCCACATGAGCCCGTGCACTGGTGTCTCAACCTCAGACGGTCCTCGGGCTGCACCAACGTGTCCCTGCTGAACCTGGCCGCCGCAGTGGAGCCCTCGGACTCCTCGGGAACCGACTCCATCACTGAAGACAGCGGCCGGCTGGCGCTGCCCGGGCCCCCCACCGCCCCTGTACCGCCCTGGGCTTCGGAAGACCCGGACATCAAGGAACTTCTGGTGAGAGGCTCCGGGGACACGTCCGCAGGAGGGGCAGGGAGGCTAGTGGGGTTGGAACAAGAACCTTCTAATTGTCCCAGTGCAAGCCCAGCATGGTGGTACGCCCCTGTTGTGCCAACGCCCTGGGAGGCTGAGGCAGGAGGCCCACCTGGACTACATAGTGAGACCCTGTCTCAAAGCAAAACAAAATAAAACAAAGGAGCAGAGCCAAGTTGGTAGGGATGGGGGTGGGGTGGGGTGCAGGTGACATCCTGGTGCCGCAGTTGGGGTCTCCGTGAAAGTCCTGGAGAGACAGGTCTTGGCCCTCACCTGCAGTGGTCAGGGAAGGTGGAACAGCTGGACCCGGAAGCCAAGCCAAGATGGCATCCCTGTAAGAAGACAGGGCAGGGTGTCCTTGGTACCAGGAACAGCCTGTAGGAATGGCCAGGGCTGAAGACAGCCCAGGGAGGAGGTGACTTCCACTTGGTCCTTTGGCTACTGTCCTGGCTAACGGAGAGCCAGTGCCGGCTCAGAAGAGCGGGAGGAGCCACTTGGGCACTTTCTCCGTTTGCTGAGCCGCTAGAATGTGCCAGGGAGCTGCACCTCTATGAGGGGCCTGATTTTCTCTTCTTGGAAATTCTTAGAAAAGCTCTGATATAACGACCAGGTTAAAGATGAAAACCGAAGCCAGGAATGGTGGCAAAGCAGTGATCTCAGCACTCCAGGAGGCTGAGGCAGGAGGATCACCAAGAGTTCGAGGCCAGCCTAGACTGCCTAGTGAGATCCTGCCGAGAGAGAGAAAGAGAGAGAGAGAGAGAGAGAGAGAGAGAGAGAGAGAGTAATCCCAGCTTCCAGCTTTTGGGAGGCTGTTACAGATCACTACGAGTCCAATCTAGTAGTGAGACCCCAAATACCCTGTAGACCCTTCCCTAAAATACAAAAAGAAAAGAAAAGAAAAGAAATGAAAGAAAGGTAACCTGCCTAGAAAGCACAAGGTCCTGAGTTTGATCCCCAGTACTGAAAAAAGAGGAAAGGTTGGGGATAGAGTTCAGTGTGAAGACCCTGAGTTCATCCCCATCATCACGCAAACAAAAACAGCTGAGGTAAATGAATATAAGACCCAAAAGCTTGAAAGGAAAGTCTGAGGAAGCCACTTGCAGGGAAATTGAAACAGCGGAAACAGATGGGAGAAGAAGGCCGCGCTACGCTACGGGCCGCCTGAGGCCCTGCCCAGCTCGGGCCAGCTCTGAGAAGGGCCCAGCGTTCCCATCTGACCTGGAAGCAGAGGCGGGAAGTGAGGACCAGGCCGAGCCGGCGCGGCGGGGCTGAGCCCCGTGAGCTTGCATGAGATGCTGCAGCCGGCTCACTAAATTCGGAAATCTTTCTCCAATCTTTAGCTAACTACTAAGAGAACAGAATACACCTCAGTGCCCAAACAAAGAGACACTTTACAGAATTAGCTCAGAACAGTCTCAACCAAACAAAACAACAACAAAAATCTGCTGGGCATGGTGGCGCCCGCCTGTAATTCCACACTTAGGAGGCTGAGCCAAGAGGATCAGCCTAAATTCAAGGCCAGCCTGGGCTACATAGTGAGACCCTCTCTCAAAATATAAACTAAAAATAAAAGGGTGAAGATATATAGCTTGGGGGTAGAGCAACCCCTGGGTTTCCCTTCTACAACGTTAAAAAAAAAAAAAAAAACACTAAGTAATTTGTTACAATCACAGGGCCAGCCAGATAGCTCAGCTGAGTAAAGTGCCTGCTTAGGCAGACTCAGGGACCAGGATTCCATCCCCAGCATGCTGTCGCCCTGCCCCTGGGGCGCACTGAGATGGTGATTGAGACTGAGCATGGCGGCGCACGCCTGTAATCTCAGCACTTGGGAGGCTGAAAACAGGAGGATCGCTCCGAGTCTGATCTGTGTAGTGAGACCCTGTAGACCCTGTCCTAAAGACATGAAAAAAAAAAGCAACAATCACAAACATGTACAGAGCTCCAGGCCACCTTGAACTGTGTAACAAGACTCTATCTCAAACAAGAACAAAAAATCAAAACTGAAATTAATCAGGAAGAAAAAGGGGACATACTACTTTATCAGAAAAAAAAAACAATGGCAAGAAATGCGATGAACAATTGCATGCCAACGAGTAACACAATTTAGAACGGTGTCTTGGTTCTGCGTTAGTGTGGAGCCAGAGACTCCGAGAGGCTCAGCTCGGGACAGGTGGGGGAGGAGCTCTTCCTGGCACCCTCTCCTCGCTCTCCCTGCTCTTCCCTTGGCCTCCTCCCTGGCCTCCCTGTCTCCAGTCTCTACCCTCACCCTCCAATGCCCTTCTTTTAAGGGTGGGGGAGGCTTGAGGTAGGATCTCATGTTGTAGCCCAGGCCGACCTTGAACTCTCGGCCTTTTCCTGCCTCAGCCTCCCAGAGTGCTGGGATTACAACCATGCATCGTAATACCCAGTTTGTCTAGATTTTTTTTTTTTTTTTGGTCTAGATGTTTTCGACAAACTTTGTCAGAAAAGCAGCTAATATAAGCCAAATACAAGGAAGGCGGGCCGCTGAGAGAGCGCCTGGGGGCAGGGATGGCTCAGTACCACTGGCCTGGGCTAAGGGAAAACTCCACAGAGCCTGCAGCTCTTTATCAAGTCACTTTTTTTCTTTTTGTTTTTTTTTT